AGCTTTCCACTAGTTGTCTAGTCTATGTGTTCTCTGGTTAGTGGTATGGATGAGCATGTCTTATGAATGCGTGAGTCCATACGCACTCACACATCTATGGCCTGTGCTTGTGTGTGCGTGGGTCCGCTAGAGTGAGAAGTGGTGCATGAGCTTTTACTTTTGCTTTTTCTACTATACATGTTTATGAGGTTGTTTTTGCTGCTGCTGCTGCCGGTGATGGCACTGGTGGGGCTAGTAGTCGTTGTCGCATGATCTGACTCTGCTTCCCTTGACGCATGCAGAGTATTTCAGTTGCGGCCTTCGCTGCTTGTTGTTTAAACCGCAGCCGGTCCGCTAGCTGTTCGATGCGATCGTTTGGTTTGTGTTTGTGTTGGTGCGACTCGATATTATTTGTGTGTCTATCTATAGCGCTAGGCAACATCGCGACAATTGCTTGGACGGCAAACACACACAAACACTTGCACATGCACGCAATTGTCTCAAGAGAAAAGAACATATGCTCATGAGTATTTCGTACTTAAAAGAAAGGAGCAATAAATGAGTGCAAAGCTCTCTCCTACAACTTAACAGTTAATTATCACATTTTTTGCTGTATCAGCAGGAAATGGAAACACATTTACTGTTCACTTCTCGCTTTATTTCATAAACATAATCTTATCGTAAAACTACTTACCAAAACGGATGCCAACTATCTCAGCTGTGATACAAAGTAATGGGATAATAAATATTATAGCAGAAAAGAAGTTATTGGTACGTTTAATATGTTTAAAGGTCTGTGTACAAGTGTGTGTATGCATGTATATATATATATGTGATAGCAACTATACACGCATAGATGTGTATATACAGTGGCGAGCACGTATGGATACATGTTGGCCAAGCCGACTTTAAAATGTCTGTAAACACATAACAAATTCATGAATTTGTCTGAAATTTTGGAATTAAATTCATTTGATATATTTACGTAAGTTGGTAAAATCATGCAGGAGGCATGCGGAATTTCGCTCAACTTTGCCTGGATTCGAGACTAACACCCATTCATCCCAGTCGGTGGTATATCTTATATTGAGAGCCTTTTATTAACCAATGCCCATAAATTTTTAATGCGGTTCAGGTGTGGGTGTTTGAGCTTATGCTTTTGCAGATTCTCGATCGCCTTAAATTCTACAAAGACCATAGAAATCGAACCGAATACCGAACCGAATAGATTGAAAGAGGGTTATTTGGTCGGATGATACTAAAATAAATCGCTACCAGTCTGACAGAAAGGAGTATAATTAGCACCGGCAACAGGGAAAGCTGAATATGCATAATGCCAGACCTGAACCCCATTAAAATGTAAGATACACCACCGACTGGGATGAAGGGGTTCTAGTGTCGGATCCAGGCGGAGTTGAGCGAAATTTCGCATGCATTGGAAAAGTGGTGGAAAGTATGCCTAAGCGCATTGCTAGTGTGATTAAAGCTAAAGATCTTTGGACAAAATATTAAAAATAGTAAATATTTTTAAAAAGTTTAAAACGAGCAAAACTGGATACATAGCTCTTTTTATGTATCCATCTGAAAAACTTGAATTTAGAATCAAAAAGTTAAACAAATGATTTTACCATCTTATTTAAATATATCAAATGAATGTTATTCCAAAATTTCAGACAGAGTTTTTTTTATGTTTTTACAGGCATTTTAAAGTCGATTTCGCCAATATGTATCTATGGGTGCTCGCGTATCAGTTATATCTGTGATATAAATTTTGATTACAATAGTTAATAAATTCACCTGTCTTCATAGGAACGTAGCGCCTCAAACTATTTTATGTGGTTGTTTCTAAAAAAAAACTTTTTTAGGATTGCAATACAGATTGTTTTTCAAACCGCCAGACTTCTCGACTAAGACATGCCATTGAAAATGGGAAATCAGAGTATAATGGTTATGTTAAATGTTAAATGTCTGTAACAGGCAGAAGGAGGCGTTGCAGACCCCACAAAGTATAATATTCTTGAGCAGGGCAACGAGCTGAGTCGATATAGTCCTGTCCGTCTGTCCGTTTGTCCGTATGTTCAGACGCGTCGATCTCAGAGGATATAAAAGCCGGGGACTAGAAATTTTTGTCCTAGGTATAGACCACGCGCATATCGAGCTTTTTTTTTTTTTTCAAAAATTGATAATTTCTTCCGTTATTTTGTTATCGATTAAAACATTAACGAAAATCAGTAATCCATAAGTTTGTAAAAGGCGTATTCTGCTTTCGCAAATGTATTTTAGTGTTAGAATCATGATCTTCATGGAGATAAAGTTCCCATAGTTAGCCCACACTGCAGCTCATGCGTGTTTATGCGTGCCTATGTGTGTCGAGAGTGTGTGTTTCTTGTGTAAGCAGAATGACGCCGAGAATTATTGATATATCACTTCCTCAAAGGGTTTTTTTAGGAGATCTCGTAATCGAGCAGTCTCGACTAGAGCTTTCTTTCTTGTTGATTGTTTGGCTTATGTGTGGACCGTAAGTCAGTCTTTTATCAACAGTAACTCCAAGATATTTCATCTTTGCTCTTGGTATTGGAGCTCCAAGACTAACTTCAGGGCAGTCTCCTCTTCTGATCCCAAGCGTGATGTGTATCGAGTTGTCGATTTTGTCTATCCTTTCCTGACCTGGTAGCTTCTTTCAGATTTATTTTAATTTGAGATTTAATTGCTGGTATATATGCGATGTAATGCACATGCTTAGGCTTATTAAGCATATATATTCGTAATCATTCCATCTACACCGTAAAGAAATAGCGCTAATCGAAGTCGCAAATGATAGAGGCTTACATTCAATATTAATAATCAATATTTTGATTTAGTTTTTAATAAATGCCCCCTTAAGATTTATTCCCATAAAAAATAAACTAAATTTGCTGCAAGTAGAGAAATTTAAGCCCCGCTGTTAAAAAATTGAAGACAATTAACTTTATTTTACAAGTATTATTTTAAAAGATTTTAAAACATATTTAAAAAATAATAATTTCCGTTAAAACGATTTTTTCAGTCAAAGTAGATGATGTTTCTAAAACAAGCGTTAAAAGTGCGAACGACCCCAATCAACATTTACAGTCAGACTTTGTTGCACAAGAGGAAGAAGAAGAACAACAACATCGACAAAAGTCACAGAAACAGCCGCAGCAGCAGCAACAGGAATCACATCCACCGTTTATGGCGGCAAACACAGCGGAAAAGCAAATTGTCGACATAGTCGAAGTAGGTGACAGCTCAGATGCGGCTCAGCAACAACAGGACAACAACGAACAAGGACTTACAGTAATTGCAGTCGAAGTGGACTCAACGGCAGAGAATGTCGAGCTGAGCTCGACTGGTACCGCAACAAGTGAAGTTTCTGTATTGTCTGACAACGTATCTAGCATGTATATAACTGAGCCAAGTCTCTCAACTAATTTAAGCGAAACTGTAGCTGATGGCCAGGTGGAAGGGGAGGAGGCACAACGTATTGTTGTCCCAGTAGAAACTAGCTCACATGAAAGCACACCCGATGAGACTGATCGAGCGCAACAAATGCCAGACTTGGAAGCGACACCGATTGGGGAAAATGTGAAAGAAGAAAATGAGAGAAACGAAACATTAACGGAAACGATATCAACGAATAGCTTAGCAACAGCAGAGGATGCCAAGAATGTCAAGGATGCGGATATAGGAAAAGTAGTGGAGCCAAAAAAAACGGACACATCAGCGGCTGCTGAACAACAAGAAGCTATCGCCGATGGTGTTGCAATGGAAACCTCGGAAGTCGCGGCATCGTTGATCAACTACAATGAAGGTCAATGGTCGCCGAGTAATCCAAGTGGTAAGAAGCAATACGATCGCGAGCAACTATTGCAGTTGCGAGAGGCGAAGGCTTCACGTATTCAACCCGAAGTTAAAAATGTCTCGATATTGCCGCACCCAAACCTAATGCCTATGTTTATGCGTAATAGCAATAATAATAACAACAATAATAACAATAAGCGGGTTCAATCGATGGTTGGCATGATTGGTAGCAGTCGAAATAGTGAATCGATTGGTAATAATTTTGGTGGCAAGCAGGCTTCAATGTCCGGTGTTCAAAGCGGTGGCGGCGGTCGCAGCAGCATGAAAGGTATGATCCATGTCAACCTATCACTTAACCAAGATGTTAAACTGAATGAGACGGAAAATGCCTGGCGACCACGTTTACAAAATAATAAGCACCAACAGGACTCGACGAGCGGCAGTAACTCCGATGGTAACAAATCAATCCATGAAAAAGACGAACTTGTCCGTAAAGTGCGTGGAATTTTAAACAAGCTAACGCCAGAAAGATTTGACACATTGGTTGAGGAGATAATTAAACTCAAGATCGATACCCCCGAGAAAATGGATGAGGTAATTGTGCTCGTCTTCGAGAAGGCTATCGATGAACCAAATTTTTCCGTATCATATGCAAGACTGTGCCATCGCCTGATAAGCGAAGTTAAGGCACGCGATGAGCGCATGGAAAGTGGCACAAAATCGAACTTACAACATTTTCGTAACGCACTACTCGATAAAACGGAAAAAGAATTCACTCAAAATGTCTCGCAAGGCGCGGCAAAAGAGAGGAAACTACAGCCGATTATTGAGAAGATCAAAAAATGTAATGATCCCAATGAAAAGGCTGAGCTGGAAGCACTGCTCGAAGAGGAGGAGCGCAAAATACGTCGTCGTTCCGGCGGGACTGTGCGTTTCATTGGTGAACTTTTTAAAATCTCAATGTTAACTGGAAAGATTATATACTCTTGTATCGATACGCTGCTGAATCCGCAGTCGGAAGATATGCTGGAATGCCTGTGCAAGCTACTGACAACAGTTGGAGCTAAATTTGAGCAGACGCCAGTTAGTGCGAAGGAGCCCGGTCGTTGCTATTCCCTGGAAAATTTAATAGTTAGAATGCAAGAAATTGTATCTAAAACTAATAAGGATGGCGCCAAAGTTAGTTCCCGAGTGCGATTTATGCTTCAGGACGTTATCGATTTGCGCAAAAACAAGTGGCAATCGACCCGGAATGAGGCTCCTAAGACAATGGGGCAAATTGAAAAGGAGGCTAAAAATGAACAGCTATCTGCACAATATATGAACTATAGCAGCTCAATATCGACAACAACGTCAACATCCAGTCCCAACGGGGGTGGAAGTGGCGGTGCCGGCAAACGTGATGCACGGTTCGGCGACGCACGTTCATCGAGCGGTTATGGTGGCAGTCATAGTCAACGCGGCGGCGATGGTGTTAGTAGTATGAGACATCAGCAATCAAACAGCGGCACTGGCAGCGGCAGCGGAGCTGGTGGCAGTGGCAATGGCAATCATTCAAATGGAAATAATGACGACAATACGTGGCATGTTCAGACTAGCAAAGGCAGCCGCTCCCAAGCTGTGGATAGCATCAAGCTAGAGGGTTTGGTTAGTAACTTACGATTACGATGTCCATTTCCAATCGCTCCTTACTTTTTATGCCTAGCACCTATTACAAATTTGAGTTTATTATATCATGCCCTAGGACTATGGTCTTCTCAGCTGTAAGTAACGGGTGGAAGTCTGCGTAGTTCAGCCCATTTAAGTACATATCTTATTGATCAAGACGGAGGTTCCTATATAGCTGTATTTCAGTTTACCGAATAAATTTATACATTTTCTAGTGCATGGCTCATTCCACTTTTCAATCAAAAATAATTCGTAATTGTACTTGTATTGTACTTGAAAGCCATAGAAACAGTAAGGTTTTATTTTAATGTTATTTTTGTTTTAATATACTACTTCATTTCAAATAGTTGAGTTTGGAGTTTTTCATTTCATAAGAATTCATCCCATGTTCTGTACGGCCCGAAGAAGAAAACCCACATAGGAAAAGAAAGACAAATTTCCCATAGAACGTATAAAAGAATCCAGTCGTGTAGTAAGGGAACCGATAAATATGTGAGAGTGCGTGGGTTTCCTGTTATACACTGAATTATAGCTGTCTATAGTCGCAGGATATCTGCTTTAAAAAAAATTGAATTCGCTATATTTGCAGAATTTACAGCTGCATCAAAATTTGGATAACAAGAAGATGGGCGGCGTTAATCAGTTCATTAACTGGAATAACAATGCCATTAAACAATCGTCGACAACGCCAACGACAACACCTTCAAATTCATTTGCTCCGCTCTCGTCATTAATTGACAATAAAAGTAGCACGGATCGAGACCGTAGTGGTGGCCCCAGAAATAAGGGTTCATATCACAAAGGTTCCATTGAGCGGGATCGATATAATGACCGTGGTAAGTGTGGTATAGTAAATACTATAACCAACCCATAGCTGAATTAAGCTATATACATAAATGTTATATCTGATTTTATAGGCATGCATTCACGAACTGGTTCATCGCAAGGATCGCGTGAGAATTCGTCATCGCGCGTTGCACAAAATGCGCAAAATCGTGGCATGATGAGCTCTTCCATGCAAAAATCTGCTAGTCACTCAAAATATACTCAACCAGCGCCAGCAAGCAGACTTTCCAACAAGGTACGTATATATATACACTACTAGAGTTTTGATCCTCAATTCATTCCCTTAATAGTCCCTAGGTTCTTCTTCCTTAAGCAGTGCGGGCGGCATACATAAGGGCATTGAACAACAGCAGCAGCAGCAACAGCCCAATTTATCAAGTGGCTCAATCTCAGCTAGCACCTCAGCATCTCAGCTTCACTCAACAACTAAAGGCATCGCGCCGCCAGCAACATTCATTGTGCCAACGGAGTCCGATTTAAAACTATTTAAATCTGTTTTGTCTGATATACTTGAAGCTGATTTCATGGTCGCTGAATGCATACAACGGATATCAGAAGTGCAGCGCTGTGGATTTTTATATTACATACTAAATGAATATTTGCATTTAGCGCAAGTGGGCAAACAAAACAGAACACATCTTGCAACCGCTATTGCTCAATTAATACAGCAGAACTACATTTCCGCGGAACATTTTAAACTGGCATACAACGAATTTTTCAGCACTGCTGCCGATTTAATGTTTGATGTTCCTGAATTGTGGCTGTATATTCTTCAGTTCACTGGTTTGTGCATATTATTATATCGTATATATCGTATAATATATATAATTGGTTTTTGCATTTAGGTCCATTAATAGTCAAGAAACTTTTGTCGATAACTGATTTGTGGAACAAAAATTCATTAGACAGCAGTCAACTGAAAATGGGTAAAAAGTTTCTTCATTGTTTTTTGACATATTGTACAAGGGAAGTAGGACCTAGCTTCACACACAGCATATGGAAAAAATTTAATATGCGCTGGTCAGATTACATGCCTGATAATGAAGTTAGTGATTTTATAAAATCGAATGTAAGTTTTACTTTACTGATATATAAATGTGTTTGTATTATATATAATAATATTGTAATCTATAATACCTTATAGAGATTTGAATATGTGGAAAATATATTGAAGACGCCAGTGATTGAAGAACGCGATTCCCACGAAACACACGTCCAAAATGTGATAAATCATATTGAGCAGTTGCTTAAGGAAGGCTCAACTGCTGATGAAATTATTGACTATATCAATGTAAGTTTGCAAATTCGACAACTGCTACTCGTTCAAGGCAACCGATTACAACATTCTTACATGTTCTTTTTTAATATATTTAAAAATAAATACTTAACAGGGCAATATTGTTGTGGCCGATAAACTGTTTATTAGAGGATTGACAGAAACTTTATGCAAATTTGCAATCGTTTACAAGGATAATAGCTATAAGCTTGATCCAGAACTCTTTCAAAAATTCTGCATACCAGTTTTTCAGCGTTTTATCGCTTCTAATGAAGATCTTCAGCTCGAGTGCCTTTACGGAGTACAGTTGCTCGTGCATAGCTGGGAGCAACCTAGAGGTATGGAAAAAACATATTCATTTTGATTTTGAAAAATATATTGGAAATTTTTGTCTCGTTCAGGGCTGTTGAGCGAACTTTTTGGTGAACTGTACGATGGCTTTGTTATACAAAAGGAGTCGCTCTATAAATGGCGCGATTCGAAAGACCATTCAGCAGGCAAAGGTAAACAAATAAATAAAATATATAATAAAATATTGTATATACATAAATTTTGTTTTCTTATACAGGCGTGGCTGTTAAGAGTGTGAATCCATTTTTAAACTCATTATTCAACGATGAAGCCAATTAATATATATATACTCGTCGAGCTGATAGAACGAGTTTTAAGGCAGAGCGAAAATACACAATTTAACAGAACACTAGCAACAAAGTAAATTTTGCAGAAAAATAAAATATATTCTTTCATAAATTTAAAGAAGTGTGGAGTTGTGGCGGAGGAATCAGAGTATAAAATGATGAATATTCTGTTAAAATATATGGATGAATGCATATACACTACGCGATTTTACACGGACAGAGTATATATATATATATGCATGTAAATTACAATGTATGAATGTACTATAAAAATAAAAGCTAACCTGAAGGAAATTTATAGTTATATAATAATTATTTACATACAATGTTATATGATATTGAGGACACAGTAAATGATACGGATAATTGGCAGCATCTACTAAATATGCTTCACGTCGCATCCACACACACACACACACCCACACTGAGATGGATCGAATCACGATACCTCACAAAATCGCTTTATGTTCTGAAAATTGCACGTCAACTGAAACTAAAATTAAAAAAAAAAAAATTACAAACAATTAAAAAGAGAATAATAATAATCCAAGCCTAAAATTAAACTTGCAAAATTTTATAGACCTAATGCCTAATCGTTTCTATTTGTATCTCTAAGAGATTATCAATCTATTTGTAACTTTAAAGAAAGGAATGATAAATTCAATTTAAATATAATGTTTTTAAAGGTGAACAAACAAAACGCACAAACCCGATTATTTATTTAAATGTATGTAACAAGTAGTCGATATAGCCATGTCTGTCTGTCTGCCGATCCGCCCGTCTTTCCGTATGCAGAACACATAGAAGAGTCAGAGACCTGAAATTTCTTGTTTATAGCACACACAGATCGACTTTTCACGTGAGCCACGTACATATAGTTGCTTGTAGTTTCCTAGCAAACGTTTGCAAATATATTGGATAACATTTGGACACATTTGAACTGGCACACGCAAGCACACCCGTAACCGATCATGCGCTTAGCAGTTGCAATGAAAATTAAATAATTCTGTTTCTAGGTTAAAAATTTTTTATTTGCAGCAATTTAATGTATCATAAATTGATTTTTTAATAATAATTTAACAGGTATATAACAAATATGTAATTTCAAGGTGGGTTGAATTTTCGATTTTTTCGTTTTTTAAACTCAGTTTCTTTCTGTTTCATCATCAATTTATATTTTATATACTTTGGTTTGTTTTTACTTTATTTTATTTTATTTTTATTTTTTTTTTTTGTCGTATTTATATATTTTTAATTGTTGTTTAACTCTTAAACAATCCATCACTTTTTGTTTTCTTCTTGATTTTTATTTTTATTTTTCTGCAGCCATCTCTCAGTAGACGCGTGTTCCGGCAATGGTTGGCTAATTTCTTTACTACTAGATATATA